AATATGACCATACCAACTTTTATATAACCTCAAATTTAAGATCAAATGAAATAAATAAAATAAATGGTGATATATTCAATCAATATGATCATTTTGTCTTGTGAGTCAAAATTATATAAATACTTATTTTAACTCTCTTATTGTTGTTGAGACCCCTCACTCTATATGTTACCATTTTTTATTTTTATTTTTTACTCAAGTAAAGGTTATTCAATATTTTTTAGATCTATTTCATATGGATATGATATTTTTTTCTTGAAAAATACATTTCTTTTAGTCGGAGAAATTATGTTATATATGATAAATATAACATCATTATTTTTTTTTCACTCTATTTGTATTTTATTTATTATTTAAGAAATTATATTATAAAATAAAATAAACAAAGTATGAAATTTGGAGGTCTAAATTAACATTTTGTTAAAAAAGAATGACACGTTGACTTGACTAACTCTTACTTCAACTCACATCAGAGTTTGTGAATTATGAGATATTTTACAATTTAAATTAAAAGATCTTGTTTTGGAATGAGGTACTCAATACAAATAAATTAATGATCACTTGTAATTTTTTAGTATTATATAAAGATATAAAATAATACAATATTAAATTAATAAGAGATGGTTACATATTTTCTTAATGTGTATGTAAATTCCATCAATATAGAGTATATGTATCAAATGTACTATTACATATTTTTATGAAATATATGAACATGTATATGTTAAAATAAACAATGACGAATTTAAACTGACATATCAAATCTAAAAATTTATCTATATATATGCATATAGATGTCAAATTAAAAACTATAAAAATATTTGTTTCTTATGTTACATATAGATATCATATTAGTTATGATTTTTTCTATTTTACCTTGAAATATACCCAATATAACTGAAAACATAATATTGTGTTTGATGTTTCAATAAAAATAATAATTAAATAAAATTTTTTATTTGAAATTTTATTTTAGTGATGAATTAAATTAGATTGAATATTTATTATGATAAAAAAATATATTATAAAAGGAAAGAAACTCATACTCACAAACAGGAAGAGAGACAAATAATAAGTGAGATATTGAGATGAGAATCCATAATAAATAATTATGTATAATATTAAACATTATTTGTAACAATATATGATTATAAAAAAAATATTATATAATTGGAATTTGCATAATAATTGATTATGACTAAAATAAGTATTTACTTGTAACACATATTTATGTTATTGTTTGAATGGTAAATAACACATAGAAATTAACAAAATTTATTTCATGGTAATAGATTTAGTTAAAGCATTTATTTAGTCAAGAAAAATTGGAGTGCAAATTCCAATACATTTAAAATATAAATTAATTGTTTATATGACCTAAATATTTTTTGTTGATAAATCATGCATAGAAATTGATAAAAGTAATTACAATGTATTAAATGCAGTTTTTGGGGGGAAATTTTGAGCTGCTTTGCTTTAATATATATATAGATATTTCATACGCACATATACTTACACAGCATATATACAAAAAAGAGCAAAAAAGTTTGTATATAGGTCCCTTGAACTAATGTATTTTATATTTTGTCCTTTCATTTTCACACAAGTCTTCGCCATCTCCCACGACATGTACCCCATGCAGACATAATACACTTCAATTTAATTTATGATACCAAATATATAATATATATATATAATATATAGTAAATAGAAATTTCAAAGTATAAAATAAAATAAAAGTATACTCGAGTTTCTCGTAATTTTAATGCGCGTCAACATTTTTTATTTTTAATTTTTTTTTATGTAATTTCAACCAAATTTGTGCAATCATTAATTTGCTGTCAAGCATATATATGCGTAGTGAATAAAATTCAATTTTATTGACTTCTAAAAATATAACAGATCCGTCCAAATTAAGAAATGGATCTTTAATATATATAATTCAAGTCGATTATCAATGATTAACTATCACTATAATGCTATAGCCCGTCTATGGCCCATCTCCTAAAATCCAATTGACCAATTTTATTTTAGTTTGAATTAAATTTCCAAATTACAGCTGAAAAAAAAATCTCCTTTCAAAGGTAAAAAAATGTTTGAAATTGCTCAATAAATCTAACTCATTCGTTTTTTTTATGGATTATAACTTTTATGTTTTTATAGTAAACCTAAACTGTCAAGATGAGATGAGCCGAGTCGATCTTAGGCCGTTATATAGCCAAATCAGTAAATGAGCATGATCTCGACTATTATTAAACCGAGCTCAAATATTAACAAGACAAACTTTAGCCTTCAGCAATTGAGCTCGATCCGAGCAATAGAAAATTACATAAACTTTTTATTATTGTTTGAGTCTCAACGAACATGACTCTATTCGTTAACTAATCGAATTCGAACTCGACTTGTTTATCAAGCAAATTAAGTAGAACTCGAGATTAAGTACCGAAAGCTAGTTCTCGAAATTTCTGATGACCGCCTCTCTGCCGGAGAAGAAAGTGACTCCGGCGACTCAATCGTAGGCCAAGGAATCAGCAAACTCAAGGAAGAGCTGGTAGAAGACAACCTTGTGGAAGATAATTTCACTAAGCCCGCCGCCGAGAGCTCTAAGGTGTTACTTGGGCTAGCCGTGGCCAATCGTGAGCTTAGCAATGATAATAATATTGTTGATGATCTTGTTAACATGGGTTTTGATGTTGAGATGTTGGAGGGTGAAGAGGGCAATCAAAAGCTAGCAACAAGTCAAGGCAAAAATAACACCCACAAGGTGTTTGATGAAATGTCCCAAAAGAAAAATGAAAAGGAAAACTTGGTGAAGTTACAAAAGGATGCCACTACACAAAAGAGGCCTTTCTCGGCCCTCTTTGCCGACAACCGCAAGCCCTCCCTTGGTCTCAAATTAGACTATGTCCCACCAAAAGAGGGAGGAGCTTTTCTTGAAGAAGATGACATTTCCGAGCTCACCGAAACATGGGGCTTTTGCCTTGTGGGATATTTTACCCAAAAACATCCGGGAAAAGAGGCTCTTCTAAAGCTTTGTAAGACTTGGAAGGTGGACTTTGACATAGTCCCAAATGTCAACGGGTGGATTGTGTTCAAATTTAAG